ACATTGGCTCATTCTGCTGTGTAGACTTTGAGTGGAGTTTTTCATGTCCTGGAAATCTATTTGCATCTGTTTTATGGATTCCATTTATTTCCTATGTTGGCATTCCATCATGTTCCTCAGGTCCTCTCTAGATTTATTAATCATGTCTTGCACTAGGAGTACAATCTCTCCTGTTATCTGTGAAATTATTTCTGATTTCATTTTTTCTAGATCCCCTTTCATTGCCAGTTCAGTGGGTCCAGGTGGTTGAGTATCAGAGTGTTCCATCTCATTTCCCTTTAGGGTTGCTGTAGGCGATCTGGAAGTCTGGTTTTGAGACTTATTTATGTGTCTTCTCATTTCAACTGGGGATAGGGGGGGTACTGTTGGCGCCCACACAGCTCACTTCCTCTGAGCTGGGAGAGGTGGGACAGGGGCCAGGAGCGGCGGGAGGGATGGTGGCCCAGAAGCCTCTTCCTCTGGCCTAGGAGTGGTGGACTGGATGGTGGCCCAGAAGCCCCTTCCTCTGGACCAGGAACAGTGTGACAGTGGCTCAGAAGCCCCTACCTCTGGGCCAGGAGCAGCGGGACTGGGATCCCTCTTCTATGTTGCCAGATCACCCTCCTCACCCCCTTATGTAACGTACTCTTTGTATGTTGATTACTGGGTTTTTTCTCAATTAAAACGTGAGTATTAATTTGTTTCAACATCCAATTTATCAATGTCAGTAATATTGCCAAGAATATTGTAGATATTCAATAAGTAATTGCTGAATAATTAAATTTTTCCTAATCATTTGTCCTTGTTTTCTTTTGTTTTTTGTTACTTAGGTGAGTGTTTTAAACAGCTAAATTGATAATGCCCATCTCCAGCAGAAATGCTACTTATTTGCCTTGATTTATTCCAAAACAAAATTTCAAAAATTTCATATATGACTTAAGAATTTGAATCCTTAAACTTGAATTCTTACTCAATTCTATCATAATGGCCTAATAGAAGTGCTATATGATTTCCAGAACACTGAAGTGAAAATTACCAATCACTTTGCGTTATTCTAAACTGCACTAAATTTTGAGAGGGTCTGTCTTTGGGGGGAAAAAAAAAAAGACTCACTAAACTATATGTGAATTAGTCACTGGAGATTTCTTTCATGCTTAAGAACATTTTTCTTTTAACTATTAATTTTGTAAGTTTAAATGATAATAATTCTTTTTGAAGCAGGGTTTCGCTATGTACCCGAGGCTGGCCTCAAATTCATGGTGATCCTCCTGCCTCAGCCTCCCAGGTGCTGGGATTACAGGCATGCACCATCACATCTGGTTAACGATAATAGATTTTTAATGTGATAAATTTTCTCTTTCAAAATATGCATTTCACATTAAAATATGCTTGTGTTACAGACATATTTCCAAATTTTTATAGGTAAATATTATGTAATTTTATTATTTTCTTTTGGTTGACATAAATGGTGAAAATCTTTAACTCATTGCTTAGGGAAAGAGAAAAGTTGTAAGGAAGATGTTTTCGAAAAATAACTTTCTTATCCCCTTAAATAATGTTCAAAAGAAATAAAGTAAGGAACAAGAAGCTAGAGAGTATGGAAAATTCTTCTTTAATATACACAACATGGCAGCCAGACAAGAACAGCAAAGCAAAGCATAATTCAGTTAGCCCACAAATTATGTGGTAATTGACCTCACTTCCAGTCAAGGTTCAAATTTACTATTTTCTGTATAATTCTTCCTCCTTTTTCATTCTGTGAAATCACATTCTTCTATAAAATTTTGTTCCTTCCAATGTAAACAGGTAAGTCAATTTGTTCTCTTTAAAGATTCTTTTTAAAAAAAGATTTCACTTTACTCTCCTCAGAAACATAGAAGTGTTTGAGGTAAATTAATTAACTGACATAATATGGTGAGGGCTTTGTGACCATATACAAAGTAAAACCCCACAATGACTTTTATTTTAGAAATAAAAAACTCACACAAAGCATACAGATGTCTTTTTCATGATTTTTTTTTTAAGGACAGTGCAGTAGAACTGGGTTTTGGTAGAAACACTTTCTAAATATTTGGGCACTCCTGTCAGTAAAAGTTTTTATTAAATTCCTTGCTGATTAAGTGATAATCAGCTGCTAAATAGAAAATTCTTCATGTATTAAAACAATCTTCTAAATAATGTTCTGATTAATAGTCAAAATGCCCTTTGAGGTGGATTATTGAAATTCTCATTTTTTATGCAAAGATATTGAGAGAGGTAATGAGCCCCTCTGAAAAGTACTCAAAATCCTCAGTCTCCAACTTCTTAAATACAGTAATGATGGTATTCTCCCAACAACCCTTGAGAAATAGAACTGACATAGTTAAGAGTAAATTCAAAGCATAGATTTTCAAATACATAATTTTTCCTATAAATATGTATATTGGTCTATCATTTTTAAAAAGTGCAAAGATAAAATTATTCATAAAATAAAACTCACCCATAGATTGTCTTAAACCCTTTTGTTTTCACATTGGCAATTACATATATTTATGTACAAAATTCACATTAATTGAAATTTTTAATCACTGAAGAGTATATAGTAGCATGGTGCTCAAATGTTTCAGTGATATGTATTATTACAAGCTTTAATTCTCTAAGGCTAAAATGCTAAAAACCTTAGGACAATGATGGTGAACCTTTTAAAGATGAATACTCAACTGCAACCCAAACATACTTATTATTAGAAAATGCCAGCACTGTAATTAAACCTGATTACTGAGGTTTTAGTTTTAAAAAAAACCAAACTCATACATTAACATCTTTTTCTTCAAAGAAAAACAAATAGCATGCATGCCAGAGGTTCCCCACCACTGCCTCAGAGAAATCTTGTGACATATTTCCAAGATGGCAAGGATAAAGGTATTTCAGAGTTGAAAAGAAAAAGAAAGGACAGAAAAAAAGAAAGAAGCAAGGAAAAAGCAAGAGAGAGGCAAAAGACTAAATATCTTTAGAAGATAATGACTAAGTCCATTCAATGATTGTAAAATTAAATGATTTGTGAAGAAAGGAATGTGATACACAGTGAAAACACATCTCTCATTTTAATGCCACTGATGTCACAACAAACAAACAAGAGCGTATATTTTAATAAAATAATAAATAATAAATAACAATAAAATAATGAAATAAAAGGCTTGACATTACACAGAACTCTAAAGCCTTCCTTCATAAAATAGTAATTTATCAAAGATCAATTAGATCACAGAAGTAACACCTATTTATTTACAGAATCATGCTGATCAAGACCACATTTGTGTGTGTATGCTTTTGAAAGAAAAATCTAACCAAATGTATTAGAAATTAACGTGGTTTTAGTAAAAAAAAAAAAAAAAGACACTGAATAATGACAAACAAATATCGATTATCTTTTATTGATAAATTAAAACATTCAGAATCATCTGAAAATTTCAATAAAGTATTTGTAAACATGTATTTATATTATAGTTTCTTAGGGTAGCAGTTCCTAAGCCCCTCACCATGCTCTCTCATGTCACTTTCGAATTACTATTATTATCACAATTTTAAATTTTTTTCTATTTTTACTTATCTACCCGTCTCCCATTCACCAAGAATATATAAACACTACAAATATAAGCCCATGTCCTGCTTCTTAAACTCGGCTTCCCTAAGACCGTGCTATGAGCCTGGTATAGTAATAACACAAATGAATGACTGAAATCTCCCTTCACACATGGAGTTGTTAATTTTAAATGTCTTTTGTTATAATATTAGTATGACTTCTTTCTGTATGAAGTCAATTTTTATTCAACATCCTACTATGGACTCAGATATACAAGCTTAGGTCTTTGAGTTCTTGTCATCTTGGGTGTTTTTCTTTTATGACGTCTCCTCTAGGGTGCTGGACAGAAGGCACTGCCATGGGACAGGCTCCAGTGGCAGCACTAGCTCTCTTCTACTTGGCCTCGCAGGACTGACCACTGTGGGAAGAACTCTGCTTGCTGTATGCCCCTACAATCAATGCAGAAAAACGAGCAGGGCTGCTAACATCAGACTCCATTAAGGTCACTCTTTCTACCCTCTTTGTCTTTAGACCCCAAAAGAGGTATGAAGAAAGAAAAAAAGAGCAAAAGAAGGCAGGTCGGATGACAAAAAACAGCCGAAAGTGGGCATCATAACTTTGCCCTAACCCATCAATTGTCAAGGTTACTTTTGGCAAGAGAAAAAGAAAAAGAGCCAGACTGTAGCTGCCTGAAGCTTTTGTACTTCTGCCCAGACTGCGGGGAAATGATGGGATTTTAAAAAAATGCCAGTGATTAAAACAAAACAAAAAAATCTTCCCAATAATTTTCCTTGCTTGAAGGATGAACTGCCTGAAGCACTGACCTCCCTGCCTATCTCAATAAGGTCGAGAAACTGACTGCCACTCCTACAATTATGATTAATGTGCTCTTGCTGGTGACATATTTCTAACCACAGTCTCTAGAGTGCAGCAAGACTCAGTTGCTTGGTGGCATGTTGAGTCATTGCTCTGGCAAAAGATCTATTTGCTAGAACTACAAGCTTAGCTTTCAACAAGGTATCCTCTTGATTCTTTGTACGACATCCTATCATGAAAGAACAGAGAGCCCAGTACAAAGAATGACTGCTAAGAAGGATAAAACATTAAATTAATTTTAAAAAAAGCTTTTGTACTGAAAGGCAAAATGCAGCATAATGAATAATTAAACAATTAATAATGTAATCCTCTTAAAAGCACAGAACCACTATGCAAGAAGATTAAGTGTTTAACAATTTCCAGTATAATGCAAATGGTAAAGATGAGCCTTTCTTTCCCCTACTTTTTAGGGTAATAGAATTGAAAGCACATTTCCAGATTTTAATTAAATACTATTAAATTTTCAGTAATAAACTGGGAACAACAGTACTGCAGTATGGAAGGATTATTGAATACAAAGGTAAGTACACAATAGCAAGAGGCTAATATTGCTTGATTCTGTTTTTATATAAAAGAGGTTGCTTGGAAAGGAGTATTCTATTTCTAAGCTAAGTTTGTGAGTCACCAAACACAGAGTCAAAAGCTAAACTGTGGTAATGACAATAAGACTGAAATTGTATTTGACAGTCCAATCATGAAAAAACAACCAAAATAGAGAGCTTTACAACAAAGCATCTGATACATCCAAATGCTGTTGCATTCTCAAACCTACAATTAACTCTCTATGGCATAGAATCTATGTTCCTATGATTATATCTTTACCATTTCCCTAAGTAGGGATATTTTGCTGGAAACATAATGTGAGAGAAAGACTCAGGTGAGTTTGAGAATAAGAAGACAGAAGAATTAAGAAAGTTCTAGGAAAAAGAGTGAGGCAGTGGAAGAGGACATCAGATAGGGTACAACATCAAATAAACCCCAGCTCAACCTCAAGTAGCGATCACTAGAGCATAAAATATGCAACAGAGTGTGCCTGCCACCTGGGAAATGATTCCATCAGCCAAGGTCATCCCAAGGAGAAGCAGCAGAGCATGCAGTAGTGCAACAGAGCAGTGAAAGGGACTGCAGGTAACTAGATAGAGCACCAGTAGTGCCTCTGCATCACTGTAGTAAGGAAAGAGCTTTGTCTGTAACTATCTGAACTAGTTTATCTGTATTGTTAACTATATTTTAACTTAAAACATAATCCTTACGTTCCACTTGCCTCCACTTCCCATGCCCGATTTCTACATGAAATTTATTTCCCAGACCAATTTGCACTGGAGAAGAAGGGATCTTTGAAACTAATAATATTTTGCCTGATGCAGTAAAATTTGGTTTTAAGTAACCTTATGTCCTGTTCTGAGATCTGAAAGATAGGCCTGTACAGATTGAGATCTGTAACTTTATCCATACTACCATGACTTTTCCCCTTTGTTTTCAATCCAAGGCCATTGCTTAGGTTCCATCCTATAAAAAAGAGAGATCCCATTTCACTCCTACCATGCTTCCTCTGAATTCTGACTCTCAACTCCAGACTTAAGACTATACCACTAATATTTAGTTACTTTGCATGAAATTCCAGGAAATGCTGCTTTCTATATGGCCTCTCACTATTAATTCCACATTCTAGGCCCCCTTCCTTCCCATATCTGTACATGGAGCTATAGGGAGTCTCTTGGAGTTATCCAATTCTCCTATGGTATCCTAGCTGGCAGCAATGACTTGGACTATCCTTTAAAAGACCTAATTTTTTTTTCTAAAAAAAAGTTGTTGAAATCATTCAGTAAACAATTGAAAAGGAAGTGTTATGGTTTATAGACAATGTCCTCCAAGAGGTTCATATGCTCCTAGGTGGTACTTTTAGAAAATAATTGAATTATGGGGCCAGGATAGCTAACTTGCTGTTAGGAGGTGGGGTCACTAGGGGTGTTACCAAAAGGGTATATTTCCCCCCTGGTTCTTCCTTTCCCTTGCTGCTTTCTGTCACCATTATGTAAGCAGCTTTTCTTCCACTATGCCCCAGGCCATGGCATCCTGCCTTGGATCCAGCAAATTATGGACTGAAAATCTCTCTTCCTTGAAGTTGTAGTTGTCAGGTATTTTGTCCCAGCAATGATGAAAAGGGCTAAGACTGGAAGGAAGTCCAATGGAGAAAAAAGTATAAGAAGTACTCCTTATAAAAGGATATCTTACAAACTAGGAAACAAATTGATCTAGACTTGAAGGGCAATACTACTCCTGAAATGCACATTTTAACAATGGAACATAATTTCAACTAAAAGTATCTGATTTTAAATATATGAATATATTTATGAATATATAAACAGAAGCGGATAAGTCAGGTGAAAGACCGATTTAAGTCAACTAGTCAGTTGATTTAAAAAGAATTCTTTAATTCTTAGCTAATTGGTACTTATTACTTTATCAGTAATAAGTAAAGAGACAAGTAAATGTTATATTATTAATGCAAATATATTTTAATGTATGAAAAATAATTTTTAAAATTGACTGAGAATCTTTTATTTTGAATTTATTTTTAAAAGTTTATCTTAAAGTAAGATTGATACATATGACATCTGCTATATCCACTGTGTGGTAGAGCTGGGTTGCTACATACTGTAAATATAGAGTCACAGGTCACTTAGTTTAGGAAAAATGTGGTGATCAGTAGGTATGCAAGGCCCAAAAAAAGGTGAACAAGAGAAAAACAAGTCTGATCAATAAAGGAATGAATTAAAAGCACAGGCAGGAACAAATGCTGGAGAAGATCAATTTAATGGAAATTCATTGAATCTATAGGATAAGTAAGGCAACAAACCCACTGGGTCTTAAGGAGCAGACAGAAGTAAAAGCAGGTGGTATACCACTGATTTAGCATCTTTACAGCTACAGTTCTCTTTAGAGGTCATTCCCTGCTTCTGAAGTTACTGCTCTCTGTAACCAATCTCTGTGGGTGTAGTAGAAAATTCTTTGACTTTACATCAGAATGATCTGCATTCTTGTTTCAGTCCCCACTCCATTAGCTGCATGACCCAGAAAAGTATTTAAATGATTTTAAATTATACTAGGAAACATAATGTCCCATTCTTAGAAATACAATGAGGATTAAATAACATAGCAGATGTTAGCCTCATGACACATCTTAGAATCATCATGATGTTATTTTCTCCTTACCCACTTTCCCTTATCATACCCTGGCACCCTCAGGAACAAAATATATCTAGGATTCATGGAGTGGTTTTGGAGAATATTGCCATGTGATAGGAAGGGTTATTACACTGGTGAAAGTTACAACATCAAGGGAAATACTTAGACATTCACCTCCTCCCAACTCTAAAAGGTAAGTACCAACTAGTCCAAAATCCACTCATATAATAACAGGGTACAGTGCAGTCTTATGTATAATAAGCTCCTCTAAGGTCAGAAGAAAGAAATCTTTTATTACACAAAATTACATAGAGAAGAACAGAAATAAGAAGTAGGTGCACTGAAGTCAATCATTAGATTAATATATGGAAATATAAATAGATGAAGATAGATAGATAGATAGATAGATAGAACTAAGCACATACTTCATGCCAGAGTCTGCACTTGGTACTTTACATCGAATTTGACTCTTATAGCTCCTACAAAGTAAGGATTAATGTGATCATTATATAGATGAGAATAATGAATTTCCTGGAGAGTAAATAACTTGTCCAAATCACACAGCCAACAAGTGGCAGTAGCAGCAGATCTGTTTGAATCTGAATCCCCAGATCTTATTTATGATTCATTTTCATCCATGTTTCAACACATACATGGGGCTGAAATGATGTGGTCCCATAGGAAGAGGATTCTGCAGTAGGCTGCAGATTTACACTGGAATTTTAATGCCTGATATATAGATCTTTCCAAATTTAATAAGATAATGATTTATAATGAGCACAACCATGAGCTGGTTGAGTCTGGAGAGAATATGGTACAAGATTAGTCTGGAAGTCATATGTATACATATAAATACTTAAAGATCATAAAATTTATTTTCATGTAGATTCATTTATCGTGAAAGTATATTCCAAGGATAAGGGAAGGACTTTTAATGGGGACATAAGAAAGTGACTTCTAAAAGTTTCACCACTGTTACTCTACTGTGTGTCCAGCATATTAATATTGAAATCCTCTTTCTTCACCCAAAGATTTCAACACCACCTCAATTCTTTTCCTACAAACATGTAAATCTAATTTCTAATGATAACCAATGGAGAAATGTGATATGCTTTTAAAGAACTATTTTTCCAACCAAGTGTGTTGGCATTCATCTACAAGCTAATGAAACATGAAAGTTCAGTTCTCAACATTTAACTACTCTATGTTGACATTTTAAACCACTTTAAAGGAAAAGGGTATCATATTTGAATGCGAAGAGAATCTGAAGGAGTGTGAAAGGGCTAAGACCTCAAGGCCTCTTTTCTTAAGAAAATGAGCATTACTGATACTCACTCTTTACAAAATGAATGGTAGAGGATGAGCTGGGAAATGAAATCTGTACATCTCATAATATCAAGAGCTTTGAAGTCATCCTCAGTAAACTAAATTTGAATGAAGTAAGAGGTGGAGCAAGCAAACTATCTGTTATTACATCCTACTGAAGCAGGGATCCCAAATTTCAACCAAAGTCAAAAGCTTGGAAATATTACCAGTCAATGATGTGAATATTTTTACTAGGTAGAGTTGATTAAGTTTTTTCCCCCCAAGGAAGGGCTGATATTGAGAGGGAAAAAAATACTCTGAAGCCAAAAAACCCCCAAACATAACAAATTTATTCACATAACACCCTATTAGGGACTGTGTTCAGTTTGCCCCAGTGGGTTTAGCAGATGCACTCCTGTGTGGGGCCTTGGAACTCAAACTCCAGGATGGGCTGCCACACAGTAGAGTTTAGGCAGGGTAGTTATCCTGGAGGCAGAAAGGGAAAGCACCCAGGAGAAAGCCCACTGTCTCCCCATTCAGCTGCTTCCTGCTCACTTTCTATGTCTAAATACAAAACTCACTCACTAGTTCTTGAATTTCCCTTTAAATGACAATACAGATACCTCAATCTCAGCTCAAACTCATTTTATGCTCATTTCATTTTCCTGCAGCGTTTTTTTTTTCCTTCCGTGCAGCATTTTTCTTGAACAATCACCAAACTGGCAGAGTCTGACTAGCTTGTCAGGAAGGAAAAGGAATGCACGTTTCATACAAAATTAATCTAATCAGTAGAACATTTATAAGAGCCCTCGCTAGACTTATTTACAAATGGAAAATACCCGAAGAGGAGAAATTTTAATCTCATTATAATATGACCTTCCAAAGCCTAAGACACAATTGTTTAATTCCCCTTGTTGACTCATTGTGTTTACAGTTTACTGTGTCTTACGGTTTTCAGGAAAAATAAGGAAGCTAAAAATCACCTATTCTAATGAAATGGGATGCAGGAGGTAAACCAGTAATAACCTTTAAGACTGTGATGAAAATAGCCTTCCATAAAGCAAGGATAAACAACATTGCAGTCTAATTTACCTCTGCATAAAATGTAAACTAGAACTCAATGTGCAATAAAATATTAGTATCTTTATTACCAGCATAATCTTAACTAATCATTTCTTATGTTATTTCTGTAGTTACAGTAAGTTATCTGCATGAAGTTTGACTGAATAGGGTTACCCCAGCAACTGAAACTACTATGGATTTTCTCTTTTTCCATTCCATAAAATCTTTTTAAATTAGCATTCTCACTTATTTCTAAGCTAGTCCAAAGCAGGATCAGACTACTGTTTTCAGAATGCCACCAACCCAAAACAGTTTTATTATTAACAATCCCCTTCTTTGTAATACATAAACACATTCTTCAGGGGCACTGTAATTATCCAAAATGAGCTTTAGTACTGCAAATTACTTCAGCACCCCTTTGATTTATCTGTAGTAAACACACTTTATGATATTTATATTCCCATTAAACCTACCACTAATAATGAATTGACAGTAGGTAAATATTTATATGATACAACATGGACAAATACTGAATGCTCCTATAGTAGTCACATTCCTCGCTTTTCCTATCATGTTAGGAAAAACTAAGCCTTGGCATTTTGCCATGTTTATGGAAATACCTTTGAAGATGGCTCAGCACATTGCACTTCACTTTTGCAACTATTTCCTTTAAAGAGATGGCATTTGTCCGTACTTATGAGTTCTAGGTTATTGCATTTTCACATTATGCATCATTACTCCAAGTAGGTATCTTATCAGCAGCTCCAGTTGCTGTGGAGAAGATTAGAATTAAGTACTGGAAGCTTTTTATTTATTTTACATGTTTTATTCCTACAAGATTTCCTACGTATAAGCTTCTTTGTTCGCCTGAGAATTGGATACATTGCCAAGGCATTGTGAAATTTACATCTTGCTTTTTCTCTTGTATTCTTTCCAAAATTGGATTGAAAACAATGAATAGTTTTTAATTAAAACTCTGCCCAACAATAAACTTGTTTCCCCCTAAGCATTGGCATTTCTGATCAGTGATGAGGTTTTATAAAAATCAATAGAAGATACATACTACGTAACTGCAATCAGTCTTCAACCAGTGTGTCACCTCAAATCTGAGATATTCTTGACAATATCCACTTAAAGATAACCATCACCAAAGTTGATCTAACTGTGATCAACAAGGGCACAGTCTTATGTGAGGCCAATGTACCTTTTTCTTTTAATATCATGTACTCCAAAGTGATGCTCCTGCTGACTTTTTACAGAGAAAAACTGAAAGAAAACGTTTTCTTTCCCAAGCAATTTTAGAAAAGTCTTTTGATTACTATTTTATTACTTAGTTCAGACTATCATAGCCTATTTTACTCTAAAGCGGAGTCCAAAAGTCATCCTTTTTTTGCCTTTAAAATGTCTTAATGATTTGAATGTCCTCAGGAAGGACAAGAGCTTGATCACTTGAATGCAGGTTTTAGAAATCCAAAGATTATAGTAGACTTAGTTATGTAATTTAAGGCTAGACTGGTTAAGATATGAGGAGTTGTTTTACCATTTGCAAAGTGAAATTAGCAAACATTCTTCTTCTCTCCCTTTTTTTGAACTCTCAGATTATTTGATTTCTATAACATTATGAATTTTTCCTCCTTCTGTAGATATCTATCTTCTGTACCCAAAATTTACATACTGAAACTCCTCAGGACTCAGTCATAGCTCTTTCTGTTTTCTTGTCATACTTTACTTTAAGGTAATGTCATCCATTTTCAAAGTTTCACAGGCACTTAATGCTGATGATGTCTGTGTTTTTAAGTTAGGTGCAAGGCTTCACTAAAATACAGAGTCTTGTGTCCAAATCCTCACATGATTTAAACATCTACTAGACATCTCAAGTTTAACCCATCCAAAATTGGCATATCAAATTTCTCCAAAATTCTCGTTTATTATACATCTTTATTATAATATGTCTCAATTGATAAACTATACCTATCGGCTCTAGAAAAAAAAGTAAGACACCTTACAAACAATATCATAAAATCTATTGATTCTGGCTTAGAAGCACAGTTAAAATTAGCCCAATTATCTTCATTTCTACTATCGACTATCCATAAGACACCATCATTGCCTCTTAATTTACTTTTAATTTATCACTTTCATCTTGCTTTTTACAAGTAATCAGTAAAATATATAATTTAATGTCCATCTCATATTTATATGCTCCAACAGCTTCCCAAAATATTGCAAATAAAAACCAATCTCATTCCAGAGACCCCTAAAATACGAGCTCCTTACAATCTCACCCCTGCTTACATCATGGAACATTACTTTCTTCTTTGCTCACTACATCTCAACCTATATTCTCTCTTTGAACAAGCCACAATACAAACAGCCTGAAGCTAATCATTGTCCTCTGTCTAGAATACTTGCTCTTCTAATCTTAGCCAGCCTATCCTACACAACCTAAGGCTGTTGTCAACTACTCTGAAAAACCTTCCTAACCAGACTTTCCATAGACTGTAAGGTAGATCAAGATACTCTTCTCATTTTATTCTTTCTCGGTTTATTTTGTCCTTCATAGCAGTTATAAATGTTTTATTGCTTACACTTTTATTGTCCATACTCCTCTCCTACTATTTAAAGTATCTTGATTTTATTGTTCATTATCTCTGACCACTACCACGGCACCTAATCCATAATAGGTAATCAATGATCCTACACAGTTTTTACCTTTCATTTCATTTAGGTTGACCCCTAAAATACAAATAAATTATTGACAACCTCTGACTGTTTTCACAAAATTCTTGCTATTACTTCAGTGATGGAAATATCCAAAGAAAAGTATATATAACTATTAGTCATGATTTGTCAACTTAACCAGATTAAGAAACACCAAGATTAGTGAAGTACACCTCTAGATGTGTGGGAGGTATATCCAGAGATGATTGGCATGTCGCCAGCAAACTGAGAGGGGATGACTCACCCTGCCCCTGGGTGGCACCACCTAATGGGCTATTGAAAGGGGAAGGAAGTGGAAGTCTAGTAGTTCCCATTCTGCTTGAGCAGGTTCAACTTTTACTACTGCTATCATTTGTAGACACCATTTTCAAGATTCTTCAGCCTTCGGATGCAGCCTCAGACCAGTGACTCTCAGGAATCTCCCAAGCTTTGGATCTCAGACTGGCACTGCATCTTTGCCCCTTCTTGTTTTGCAGCTTCCAGCTTCTTGAGCTGAGCAACTCCTGGATCCTACAGCTCTCCAGCATTCAGAGAGCCACTGTAAACTCTCCCATCTCTGATCCTGTAAGCCTATCTAATAAATCCCATTGCTTAATGCTATCAATTCTGTACCTCCAGAGAACCCTTACCAAAAGAATTAAAAAAAGAATTTTCTTCATGCCAAACACAACTAGTGTCATCAGAAAAGTTAAGATGCAAAAAGAAATGAGGAACAAATAGAGTAAAATTATAGGCATTTCTACATAAATTTTCATTATACAAAACAATAAATTTAAGAAATCAAAAAGAAAGATTAGTATATATGACAAATTTAACAGTTATGTTAGTTATATAAAGTGTAAAAGCATTAGCTATACAAATATATCACCAAAAACTTTAATAATTTAAAATAAACATGCACTCTATGTCATGAAGTTAAAATGTGCAAATTTGTAAAATAATGAACCTACCAGAAGAAACACCCAAATGTACAGTCAATGGGACATAGCACAAATAAACCTAAAAAACAGAAAAACAAAAATTTACTTAATTGGGATCAAAGCACCCAATGTCTGTAAAATTTAAGCCTTTCTTAAGATAAAAAGGAACTATCATAAAAATTTAATATTTCATGCTAAAGAAAGCACTAATAAATATTAAATGTATACATTCTTTGATAACTATTAACAAGCAAATATAACTCGAAATTATCTATATGTTTGAACTTTATGAAAATACATTTTAAAAGAAACTCATGAGATAAAAAACACTGAGCTGAATAACAATGAAAATATTACATGATGAGATGACGAATATGTTAATGAGCTTGATTTAATAATTTCATATTATATACAGAGACTAAAACATCACACTATGTCATACATATATATGATTATTGGCTATCAATTTAAAATAACAAATTTTTAGAAAGAAAATACAATGAATCAGGAAGAATCAAAATATTTTTGAAAGAAAAAGGTAGAAGTTTTTGTTTAAGATATTAGGAATTATTACAGAATTCTATAGTTACAATAAGTTACAATAATTAAGACAAGGTACTATTAGAGCAGGAATGAGTGTTGACCAACAGAGTATGATAGAGAGCTCAAGAAGATATCTATGTGAAAACACATACAGGATTTCTGACAAAAGTGTTTGGGCAGAGCAGTGGGAAAAGAATGACCTTTTCTGTAAATAGTGCTGAGATAATGGGAGGTCCACATGGGGAATTATCAAACCCCTTGTTGTAGTTTGTATTTAGATGTCCCTCAAAGCCTCATGCACTCAGTGGCAGGGCCTTTGGAAGGTGGATTATGGGAGTTTATAGCTGACATCCTGTTAGGAGGTAGGATTTAGTCAGAAGGGGCAGGTCACTGGGGCCTAAACTAGAAGGGCTCATCTCTCTTCCCAGCTCCTTCCTTCTCTCTCTGTTTCTTGGCCATGATGAGGTGAGGAGCTTTTTCCTCCACAATGCCCCTCTGCCGTGCTCCTGTGATATGCTTCTTGCCTTGGAGCCAGCAGATTATAGACTAAAAACATCAGCCAAAATAAATCTCTCCTTCTTTAATTTGTTGGTGTCAGGTATTGAGTTCCATTAACAAGGAAAGTAAGACACCCCTACTGCCCACCATGCATTAAAATCATTATAAGAAGGGCCCTAGATATAAATGGAAAAGCTTAACAATAAAATATTTGGAAGATGTTGATGGATAGCTTCTTCATCTTGGTATATAGAAAGCCTTATGAGTCAACATAGAGTAATACCACTAATAAAACAGAAGATGCATTAATTAAGCTACACTATAAACTCAGTTACTGACAGATTACCATAAATTATTAGGAAATGGGTTATTATTAAGTGATATTAAACAAATATTACTGTATTTTGAAGTGTGAAAATGATACCCATCAATTGGTTTTGTAGACAAATGCCAATCCTATGTGGGTTGGTTATGTAACTCTATGGGTAAGTCTGTGAGGTTAACCTCAAATCTTTGGGTTTAGTTTATCATGATGACTCAAAGGAGAGTGAGACATGCTGATGAAAAAAGGGCATAGAAGTACTGCCAGTCTACAGGCATAAAACCCAGAATGTGCCAGATAATGGAAACCAAGCAGGACAGTTTCAGAAATAATTAGTGCTCAGTAAAATACCTTAAAAATAAATAGACACGAAGCTCACTTCCTCAAGAAGACCGATCCTTTAAAACAAACTGTAACTCCACAAAACTCATGAAATTCTATTTTCTGAGATTAACATTTCAGAGAATCTTGGTATGCCATAAACATTGTTTAGAATTTTACAGTTATTTTAACTCATTCTTTATAAAATAAATCACATTTACAGAAACACATTTATAAAAGACTGAAGACAATGCCATGTGTAATAAATAGAATTGTTGTTTTTGTTCTTGTCAGTGAACACTTATTAAACACCCACTAGGTACTGGAGTTAATAGAAACAAATATGAATTAACACATTTCTTCTTCAAAAAGACATTTTTCAGTAACTTGATTTTTTTCCCAGTATTTGGTATAAGCAAATAAATGTGACTATATCACATTAGAAATCAATCCATTATCAAATGTAATTTTTTGCAACAGCAAATATTTTTAGATGATATAAAAACACACATACACATACACACTAAAAGCATCTGAAATAGTTCTATTATTCTAAATGTACTCTCAGACTGAGACCTGGTATGGCAGCCTGAAGCAAATTATTATAGCCTAGCTATTAACTCCTAAAAATAGAGAGCTATAATGGAAACACTTGGAGAGTGAAGAGTGGGCAAAACTGCTATCTCCATAACAGTACAACAATGAGACACATTTGTGTAGTTTACCACGTCATGTTTGAGGGGAAAGGGGGCATGGCAGCAACTCCTGCCTTGTGCCACCAACCTGGACTTCTAGTTCAATTTTTTTTCCCATTTTATTGTAGGCTTAAAAAACAATTCATAGTTTCTGTTTCTCTTTTCTGCTCTCTGGCAAAATTCTTAGTTCAGATTGCTCCTTTAGGATGAACCAAAGAAAAGAGTACTAGCATTTGTTGAAGCAGAACCTATGAGTAAAAACTGCTAAAGTGATATGAAATGAAAATGCCAGAACTGTGACCCTTGGCGATTTTGCAAAGCCCTTGTTGAGAGGTTGTGTATGTGAGTGCACATTTTCTAATGTGACCCAGTAGGTTCTAACCATTTTCCAAAATGTAACAGTATTTTCTTTGGGCTTCTGCCAGGGCTATAATACACCGTCATCTAAATTTATGTTGTAGGACAACTGATTGCTATCTTAAAATTAAGTGGATCAGTAGCATTTTTTATATATCTATTAGACAGACCTAATACTTTAAGTCACTTTGTGTAATGCAGTATTGTTAAAAGAAGCTTGTAAAAAAAAAATTAAGATATGGGAAAACAGCTGTACAGATGCACAGGCCACAATCAGAGGCCCATCCAGATACCATTGGTAAGTGCACCGCAGACCCCAGCAAGAAGCCACATGGACAACAGCAGCCAGGGTTCACAGGTCCCAGCAAGGGCCCTGCCCAGACACCAGATGCTTGGGCTCACAGGCCTCAGCCAAAAACACGCCCAGAAAATACCCCATCTCAGGGATCCAGAAAGCCACCATTCTGAACCCAGGAATTGGCTCAGTGGTGAGAAGCAGAGAAAAGCCCTCTCTGAGGTTTGCTGAGAATGGAAGCTCATTAGGTGAGCAAAGAGTTGCCTCAACAAAGGTGAAGCAGGCTGCATCTGTTGAAATGAGAAGACACATAAACAAGACTCAAATCCAGAGTTCCAGACCACCTAAGGCAACCCCAAGGGGCAACAAGATGGAACAATCTGATACTCAACCACCTGGACTCCCTGAACTGGCAAGGAAAGACAATCTGGAAAAAATAAAATCAGAAATAATTTCTGATAACAACAGAAATTGTGACCATAGTAAAAGACATGATTAATAACTCTAGAGCAGACACAAATAAAAAAATAGAGAGCTATGGAACATGATGGAATCTCAGCATAGGGAACAAATGGAATTCATAAAACAGATACAAACAGATTTCCAGGAGATTAAAAACTCCACTGAAAGTTTATGCAGCAGAATGAGCCAATGTGAAGATACAATTTCAGATATTGAAGACAGGATTGTAGTTAGTGAACAGGAAAAGAAAGATTTTTTAAAAAATAGTAAAGGAACATGAGAAATCAATCCAGCAGCTGCTAGATGATGCAAAGAAGAATAATATAACACTGATTGGAGTCAATGAAGAAATAGGAGTTAGTGCAAATGACATAAAAAACACTGCTCACAGAAGTAAAGAAAGAAAACTTCCCAAGCACAAGAAAAGAATTTGACATATTTAGATAAGTGAGGCATATAGAACTCCAACTAGCCATAAAAAACTATACCTATGCATATAATAGTTAAGATATCAGAAACACAACAGAAGAACAAAATCCTATAAGCAGTTAGAGAAAAGAAATAAGCCAGATGCAACAATATGTTGCATACAAGAAACACAATTAATTCAAAAAGAAACTAATAGACTGAAAGTTAAAGGGTAAAAAATAATACTCCATGTGACACGAACTTGAAAATAAGCAGGAATAGCTATCCTATTTGCAGATAAAATGGATTTCAAACCAAAACTAATTAAGAGAGACAAGTCCACTACATCCTTGTAAAGGGAACAATGTAAGAGCAAGAGATGACAATCATAAATATGTATTTACCAAATACTAGTGCAACCCAACTAAAACAAATATTAATGGACATGAAAAATCAAATAAGCACTAATACAATATTAGTGGCAGACCTCAGTGCTCCACTGTCACAAATAGATAAATTAGACAAAAGTAAACAACAAAAAACTAGAATTCAACCAAATTCTTGAACAAATGGACTTAACAGATGTTTACAGAGTGTTCTACCCCACAAAATCAGAATACACATTTGTTTTGGCTGAACATGGGTCATTCTCCAAAAATAGACTACATACTTGCTCACAGAACATGTTTTAGTAAGTGCAAAGGAATTGAAGTTTTCCCCTGTATATTATCAGACCATAGTGCAAAGAAATTGGAGATCAATAGCAAAAGAAACCACAAGAACTTCATAAATAGATGGAAATTGAACAACACACTTCTGAACAACCAAAGGGTCACAGAGCAAATTAAAGAAGAAATCAAAAAGTTTCTACAATTAAATGCCAATGACAATACAACATATCAGAATCTATGGGACACAATGAGAGCAGTCTTATGAGGGAAATTCATATCCATCAATAATAATACTAGAAAAACAGAGTGAGCTTAAATTAAACAACCTAATGCTGAAACTCAAGCTTCTAGAAAAAGAAGAGCAGAACAAACCCAAAGCTCATATAAGGCCAGAAATTATGAAGATCACAGCAGAAATCAATTCAATGGAGACCAAGAGAATGATACAAAAAAACCAATGAAGCAAAAAGTTGGTTCTTCAAAAGAATAAACAAAATTGACAAACCT